CGCGAGAGCAAAGAGGATGAATGGGAAAAAATCCAAGAGGAAGACGAACGAAGTAAGAACAAGAAAACAAAAACTCAAGAATCACCAAGGCCTCATTTTCATAGAGAAGACAAAGGCGAAAATTCGAGAAGACTTACGGGAAGGATGACGAGTGGCCCGCGAATCGAAGCTATTTAGCAAAGGACGGATACGATTCAGGCAGACCGCAAAGACGATCGAGCGTACGCAGTAACAGATGCAAGAACGCTGTCCCAAAAAGAAACCATGACGGCCACCGAAAACCAAAAACGCCTCCCCTCCCCCAAAAATCACTCCCCAATTGCAACAACCCCAATCCCCGCACCAAAAAAAAAAAAGAGTCGAAAAATACAACTCACTTTAGCCAAAAGTTGCTCAAAAGAGCGGGAGGGTTTCCCGACGCCCGATCCACGAGGGGGTCGTAGATCGGGCGTGGTGCCGTGCAGCGCCGGGTCGGCGTTCGTAGGCGTGTGGGGAGCGGACGGCGCGCGGTCCCCGTCCCCGTCCCTCTTGGAGCTGCCAGGATATTGGTCGAAGCGCGTACTCCCACACAACGAGGGCACGCGAGGAGCCCTGCTCTGCTCCGCTCCCCTCGATGGTGCCCGTCGGCATCATGCTCATCCCGAACCAGCCCATTAAAGGCGACGCCACGAAGTTCATCCTCCGCGCCGAAGAACGGGGAGAGCATGCTACTCGTGCAGGGATATAGCAGGAAGTAGAGCGGCATTCCGGCCATCAGATAAAGACGGACAATCAGCGCGGCGCGGAAGTTCCTCCTTCCAAGTTCCACAGACTCCCCAGGAAGGGAACCTCCCGTGAATCATTCCGCCGCTATTGTCCCGCAATTTCTAGTGGTTCAGCTCTGTTTAGCTTCGCAAATATCATCATGGTTGGACTTTCACAGCACTTTCCCATGGCACGTATTGGACAGATTGGCGCGGAGGCTGATAGTATCACCAACTGCGCGTCTCATCTGGGTCTCTCTTTCTTGTCATGGCTTCCACCTGGTCCGCCGAGAAGATGCGACTCCACTGGAAGCCTTGGTTGGCCGAACGGTATACAGTTATATGTGGGGACCTGCCACCACACTCGCGACGGTGCTCTGCATCCCCAGTGGCCTCGGCGCGCGCCAAATATCGGCAGGCGCCCCCGCGTTGGCTACTCTTGTTTTCGCCGGTAAGCGCATCTCTCCGTGAATGGCATTCAGTCGTGTCTGAGTGTTCTGTCAGTATTCATGAGCTCTGTCTGGAGAGCTTTCCAGTTCATCTATTGGCTTATGGGCGCGTATTTTGAAGAGCGAATCTACTATTTCATAGTCTGCGGGACCTCGGTAGGACACATTCAGTATATCGATTCTAAATATTCCTGTTGACTTTCTTCAGTTTTTTGGTCTGATGCAATTGGCCATATTGATATCGTACGCCATCTTCTCCGGACACTGGAATCTCTTTGAGCAGTTGCGGCAGGTGGACATTCTGGACGGACCTTCCTCCGGGGGTTCTGCTGACTGTGAGCCGAACTAATCGCGATTGGAAGTCACTGCTCCTTAACAGGACCGGCAGGTCTACATTCTCCTCAACACTGTTCTTTGTATCACAGATTTTTATCTGAGAAACGAGTTTCGCCAATATAAAAAAGGCCAGATGGGTTCGTTTATATTTATTTGACGCTAGGCTGGTTGTCTTACCGAATGAATCAGTCCTTCGAGGCATGAATTATATCGTGTCCGTCGATTCCACCTCATTGAAGAATATTGCCCCGACTCGGAAACGGTCTCGAATACGCGATTTCTTTCGCCGTCGTTCAACAAACAGGACCAATTGCACTTGCTGGTGATGATGAATCGCTCGAAATGGGTGTAGGTACTACTACATCTGTAACTCCTACTCCGACCGCATGGGGAATCTCTGAGGAGTTGGCCGAGAACGTGCTCCATTGGTCCCGGCTGGCACACACCCACAAGGCCCTGTGGGTGACGACGGACATCCACGAGCGATCCGGCGATATAGCCCGTGCGATCTCTAGCCTTCTATCCTCTTCTAGCGATGATAGCGGCGCCGGTGTGGCACTCGTTGATATCAGCCAAACCCGCTCCGCCTTTTGGCCGCTGATTCGCGGGTTTGCCGTCGCATCCCCCGGCTACAGAGCAGTCCTGGGATGGCGCATACCTGGGAGCCTGGACATCCACTTTCTCGGTTGGCCGGCCTCCCGCCTTCACGCACTGCTTCGCCTCAAACAACCGGATGTGTCCCCTTTGCTATGTTACAAGGAAAAATCTGTAAGGCCATTCATTAATCCGTGCTCCAAGCGTTAACGCCTAACCCGATCCCAGGATCTCATTGAATGGCTGATCTGCAGCCCGCTTAAATCCGTGTACAGGCGCCTGAAGAGGGCGTCTAACAAGGCAGCCGACGGCGAGAATGCGCTGATTTCAGAACCGCCGCGAATCGTGTTGGTGGTGCACGGGCTTCAGAACTCAGAGCAGGCGGACGAGGTGTACCAGACGATCGATCTGTTGGAAGCTAGGCTGAAGGAACTCTACAAGTACGTCGGGGTCGTAGTGGTCAGTGGCCCGCAGCTGCTGCGGCACGTCTCCGATGCAGACAACGCTATCATGCGGTATGTCTGCACCCTACATATGTCGGCTGGCGGTTCCATCCGATACTCCGGGCAGAACCCCACTCTGCCCGCCTTTTATGAGGTATGTGCGGGAATAACTTGCGAGCATTCAACTTGCTTATTTTTTTCTTCCTGTAGGACCTCTTCTTGCTGCTGGTGGATGGAATCCATCGAACGGGCGGTGTTCAAGCTGAGGGGTATGCGCGTCATTTCTCTCATCGAGAAATTAACTAAATGCACTCCAGGCTGTGGAAACAGTTACCCGAAGTGGCGAGCATATCCCAAGAACTTGAGGTAGTTGATGATGAACCCAGCCCTTTACCATCGGCAATATTCGCAACGCTCTTCGGTGCAGCACAAGTCCGCAAAAAAATCCTAGAGGTACTGCCAATTTATTCTTTGTTCCCCGCAAACTAACTCCGTGGTTCAGTTGTTGTCCGAGCTCAAAGTGATTTCGCGAAGCCAGATCAACAAGAGGCTTGTGTGGGACAACATCAAGGTTGCGGAAACGCTGCAACGACTCCTCGAATCCAAGTCGTACTTGAAGAACATTGCGGCGATTCCGCAAGAGCACGCCTTAGCCGTCCTGAATCTAACCCACTATGTATGTACATGATATGAAGCCTGGTAGGATCTGCGTGCTTACAACTCGCCAGATCCTCGACCGTGGTTTGCCGAAGAATGACAAGATCAAGGACGCGAGGCTTTTTGTCCGACACGCTCACCGTATGCTCAATTGGCTGGCGACTTATTTAAACCAACTCCCTGAGGAGATCGCGGTCCATGGCGTTACCTTAATGAGCGATCATCCCGTTGACCGCGGTGGTTTCGGGAACATCTATCGCGGGACATACCGACACGCTGATGGCGAGCAAATCGAGGTCGCGCTGAAGGTGCTCCAGATATTTGGGGGTGGGTCTGAAGAAAGCCGGCAGATTCTGACCGACAAGTTCACGAAGGAGGCGCTGGTGTGGCATTACATGAACCGTTGAGTCTTTCTTCCACAGTTTCCGAGTTACTGACCTGTGCGGACCTATAGACAAAAACATCGTACCGTTTTCTCGGCGTCGATTCAACCACATTTCCGGGTCCGGCCAGAGCTATGGTTTCGCTGTGGATGTCTGGCGGAACTGTGTTGAAATATATCGCGGAGAATTCTCCATCGGCTATCTCTGCACTCGAGCTGGTCTGTTTCACCTCTTTTTTTAGACTCAAATTTCCTGACGAACGGTTAATTAGATTTGCGATGTCAGTCAAGGACTAAACTACCTACATTCCGCAAATATCGTCCACGGCGACCTGTATGGTGTAAGCGATCCCTCACCCTGTAATAGTAAATTGCTTCCCATTTATAAATGGCTCCTTTATGTAGCGCAACATACTCATGGACGACTATGCGCACGCCCGGCTAACCGACTTTGGTTTGGCGGCGTTTATCGAGTCGGACGCGTCCATCATGGGCACCACCCGCGGTGGCTCGAAGCGGTGGATGGCGCCGGAGCTCTTTCCGCCTCCAGGCGTTGCTTTCATGCGAACCACCGCCTCCGATGTGTGGGCTTTCGGCTGTGTCTGTTGCGAGGTACGTCCTTGAAACTATCCGTCTAATGTCTTCAGCATTGATCATTTTTTTGAGAAGATTTGGTCTGGGGGCAAGCGGCCGTTCAACCACGTACAGTCGGACCTGGGGATCTTCGCTGCCGTCTCGGAGGAGCGACAGCTGCCATACCCAACCCGGCCATCCAACACGAGGGGCCAGCCGATGCCGGACAGGCTCTGGGACCTCGTGCAGTGGTGCTGGAAAGCGCCCGACGCACGGCCGAGCCCGGCGGGGCTGGTGGATGAACTCACCGAGATGGTGGAGCACGCCAGGTCCGAGGAATTCGGTGGGGAGGAGTTGGTATTCATGCCGACTATCCCTGTCGCCGGGGGATCTGGAGCTGGAACACGGAGCGGAGGCGAGCGCCGCGCGTCGTCGCCTGCAGAGGACACAGTAGTTGAACATGTGTTCCCTGCGCCGGTGGCGGCGTCTTCCCCTACGCCCGACAAGCAAGGCAAGCAGCGCGTTCGGTTCGAAGATGAGCAGACACAACTATATGCCACAGTGCGCCTTGGCCCTCTCAAGCATGAGCCTTGTTCCGATTTGAACTTTTTTCTTTCTTTTTCACTTCTACTTCTTCCTACGAGTTCAATTTATTTTCCCTCATGTGTAGATTATATTTCATTGAAATCTCATCCAGAGCCCAGTGGGCAGAATGGCATAATCGACGCCGATTTCGATCTGAGCATCCGCACGGAAAAAAAAAGTTGAAATAAGCTCGAGCGACATAATTACCACTCACCCTACATTTGTATCTACCAAATATGGCTCAGTGGCGGAGTGGTTCGCATCTGCACTTTGTTCCCACAAAAAGTGGTAGAGTTTGCAGAAGACGCTTGTTCGAATCAAGCCTGAGCCTTCCAGCTGGTGGAATCCATTTTCTTTTCTTTTCTTTTTCTACTTCAAGTTCTTCTTCCTACCGAGTTCAACTTATTTTCTCTCATGTGCAAATTCCACTACAGAGCTTTTTAGTGGCAAAAGCCTAAGGTCATAATCGACGCAGGTGTGCTATTTTCATTACGCCGATTTCGACCTGTAACATGCACGGAAATTAAAATAAGCCACATAATAATATTGATTATTCACCCTATAGCTACATTTGCATTCATTCGAAACGCGGCTCAGTGGCGGAGTGGTCCGCATCTGTACAATATATTCAAGTTGGTCCGTGCGTTTACGCAGAAATATAATGCTTGTTCGAATCAAGCCTCCAGTGTCCTTGTCTTTTTTTTTACATAGCTATTCTACTATTTCTATGACGCAACTCCTTGTTCCTCCCTCCGAAAAAAACAAACACACAACACAGCCGTGCATCCCATCCCATCGTGTATGGATACTAATAACACAACGTATCTAACTTACAGTACAACAAACGAGCCAGAAGAACAACAAACAATACATCTACATTAGACTCGAGGCAGACACTTTTCGTGCCAACTTAAGATTGATGACAGTCGATCAATAGCTTCGCCAACACCGTTTGATCGACTGTCATCAAAGTCCAGTGTTGGCGTCTGCGGCTGGGTTCGAGCCTACATCTACATCTAGTACAACCTGTACAACAACCCGTTCGTTCGTTTATTTCTTGTAATTCCTTGCCTTCGGTTTGCGTTTATGCCGATATTTTAATTGGTAGAGGTCGGCGGCGCACCCACACCCCACGCAACGCACTCATTCCTCCCCCCTCACACTCCCCCCCGCACTGCTCCCGCTCCAGCTCACCGCATACTCCTCCACCGGGCCCCCCGCGCCAACCCAGCTCCTCCTGAAGCGGTTCCCGAGCTCGATCGAGCGCGTGGACGACGAGCGGCGTGTCTTGGCGTGCGGGTGTGCGTGGGCGGCGGCGTCGTGCGGGTGCTGCGCATGTGTAGAATCGTGTGTGGTGGTATTCGAATCGTGGCCAGCCCCAGAGGGGTTATAATTAAACGGGGCACTCGCGAGCGCAGACCCCCACGACGGCGAGCGCGTGTACTTTGACTGCGGCGGCAGCGTGGGCGAGCGCAGGGCGGGGTTGCTGTTGGGGGGGTGAAGCGTATCAATAAATTGCTCAGCAAGTAGAAAGGAGTGTGAATGAAAGAAAATTCGAAGAGGAAAGGAATAAACGAATAGAAGCAAGGTGACCAAAAAAAACGAAAAAAAAACGAAAGCGCCCACTCACTTTGCAGCCAACGTCGGCCCCACCGCCAGCCGCGCAAAGTTGCTCGGGAACAGCGGGTTCCCCGGCGCGCGGTCCGCGACGGGGTCGTACGGCGCGTCGTCGTGGGCGTCACGGTCGTGCGCGTGCGGGTCCTGCGGGTCGTGCGCGTATTGCGCGTCGGTGCCATACGGCGTATGCGGCGCAGACGTGTCCCCATACGGCGTATGCGGCGCACTCCCCCCCGCCCCCTCGCTCTTCGCATACCCCACCGAGCCAAACGATCCCGAGCGCGCCATCCCCCCACTCCCCGCGCTCCCGCTCCCCCGGTGGTGCCCAAACGACCCCGACCTCGACAAACTGCCCCCCCCCACCCTGCCCAAACGACCCCGACCTTGACATACCACCCGCACTCATGGGCGTCATCCCCATCCCCACCCCAAACGCAAACCCGCCCCTCAACGGCGACGCCGCCCCAAAGCTCTGCCTCCTCGCGCCAAACGACGGCGAGCGCACGATGCCCGTGCCGCCCGCGAGGGGGATGCCCGCGGGCGCGGGTGGGATCGGACTCGCACTCGGTAAACCTTCGCCCGCATCCAGAGCAGGCTGCTCCGCGTCAAAGAACGGATTGGGCAAGCCAGCAGACGACGTCGAGATGCGGATGCCGTGGATCTGCGCCGGTTCGGGCTCGGGGGCCGCTTGTTCCTCCTGGCTGGGTTTCGCAGCATCGCCATCCGCGCCCTCCTCCTCCTCCTCCTCTTCCCCAATGTACCCCAGATCCCCCATCGGCGCAGGCGTGACGAGCGGCGACCCAGTCCCACCCACAGCGTGCGGCACCGCGCCCGCAAAATAGCCTTGCGCAGAGGAGGAGGAGAACGCGGGCGAGGCGAGCACGGGCTCGATGAACAGCGCGTTGGGGCTGAGCGCGAGGGGGCCCGCGTCCTCGCCCGCGTACCCGTCGACGGGGCTAAAGGGGGACGGGCGCGCGTCGACGGGGCTGAACGTAAAGTTTCCCTTACCCGCGTCGTCCCCGTCCCCGCCCCGCGAATGCTGCGGCGTGGGCAGCTGCGTCGTTATATGCGGGGGCGCCGCGTCAGATGAGAGCGTGAGCGCAGACGGCGTTGTCGCACCCGGCGTGGAGGACGCCCCCGGGGTGAGCGTTGTGGCCCTAGAAGGATTGAAGACGGGCGACTCCAGGACGGCGTCCCAGTCGTCCCAGTGCGAGTCCAACGCCGGCCCGTCGACATCGCCGCGCTCACGACTGCGGCTGCCCTCCTCGCTGCTGCTCTCCCACACATCCGCGTGTTGCTGCTCGTACTGCGCGTGCTCCTCGTACGCGTCGTCGCGGTCGAGCTCGGGGGCACGCCTAGCGTGTCCTTGAGGCGCTCCCAGATGAGCCCGCTGCGCGGGCGGATCGTGGATTCTGTTGGGACATCCTATCTGTCGGGAATATTACGAGGCTCAAGTCGTTCAAGTTGAAGCGACAATGTTTTGTCATACTTGGCGCTTTCCCACGGTTGTTTCTCATTTACTGACGCGATCTTTATCTGGGATTATGCATTTGGTTCGCAAGAAAATTTGCAAACAAGCTGGCATTCTGGGAGAGTACTAAAATTCGTGAGCTATTGGCATGTGTCAGTGGCATAGAGGTAAAATAAAATACAAGAAATAGGCGGGTACTAGTAGCGCTCGGAGGATTTGTAGAATTCAGCCAAGTTCAAATTATTCTAAAATGTGGTTCAGTGGTTCAGTGGTTAGCATCTGCAAAGAGTGTGTTCTTACGACTCCTTTATGCAGAAAGTGTTGGTTCGAATCCAGCCTGAACCATAGATTCTTCTTGCTTTTTGTTTTTGTCAAGTTACACAAATCACCTGAGGCAATTCAGACAAGTTCAAATTACTTTTGGAGTATGGCTCAGTGGCGAAGTGGTTAGCATCTGCAAAAAGTTCCAGAGAATCTTTGTCTGATGATGCAGAAAAATATTGGTTCGATTCCAGCCTGAGTCATGCACATGAGCTTTCATGTTTTTTTTTTTTTTGCAACCAGCCCAAGCTACACAACTCACTTCCCGGTTCACTGTATATCGTCCCAGTCCGTAGCTGAGCCTACACAATGATGTAGCATGACGAATGTCGAAACACCGGCGCCACGCGATATGGGAGAGTTCGAACCGTGATTATTAAGACGTTGAAAACAAATCACATTCAAGTTCCCCAATACTTCATATTCGCATACTCAAATGTGGCTCAGTGGTGGAGTGGTCCACATCTGCACTCTGTGGTCACAGAAACTGGCAAAGTATGTAGAAGACGCTTGTTCGAATCAAGCCTGAGCCTTAATCTGGTTTGCATTTTTTTTTCTTTTCCGCTTCTACTTCTTCCTACGAGTTCAATTTATTTTCCCTCATGTGCAGATTATGTTTCATTGAAGTCTTATCCAAAGCTCGTGCGCAGAATGTCATAATCGTCCCTGATGTGCTATTGTTCTTACGCCTGAGCATCCGCACGGAAAAAAAAAGTTGAAAGGAGCTCGAGCGACATAATTACCACTCACTCTACATTTGTATCTGCCAAACATGGCTTAGTGGCGGAGTGGTCCGCATCTGCAGCCTGTTCGTCTTTTCGTTAATGCTATGCAGAAGACGCTTGTTCGAATCAAGCCTGAGCCTTTCGCCCCCCATTGAACCTTTTTTCTTTTCTTTCTCACTTCAAGTTCTTCTTCCTACCGAGTTTTGGCAACTTGTTTTCCCTCATGTGCAAATTCCACTACTGGAATCCTACACAGAGCTCGTGCGTAGAATGTCATGTCATAACTGACGCATGTGTGCTATCCTTACGCCGATTTCGACCTGTAACATGGCACGGAAAAATTAAAAATTAAATTACTCACCCTAATTTGTATTTTCTTAAACCTACACTAAACACGGCTCAGTGGCGGAGTGGTCCGCGTCTGCACAACATAAAGTTGGTCTAGTGCATTTACGCAGAAAAATGACGCTTGTTCGAATCAAGCCTGAGCCATGCTAGCGTTTCCGCCTTTTTAGCTATTTTACTATTTTTATGACGCATTTCCTTGTTCCTCCCTCCCTCCCTCCCTCCAAAAACAAATTTGAAACACAGCCATGCATCCCATCCCATCGTGTATGTATACTAACAAAACAACGTATCTAACTTACTTACAGTACAACAAACGGGCCAGAAGAACAACAACAATACATCTACATCTAGTACAACCTATACAACAACAACCCGTTCGTTCGTTTATTTACATCCCTTGCCTTCGGTTTGCGTTTATGCCGATATTTTAATTTGGTCGAGTCCTAGGGTTGCATCGACACACACCCCACCCCCACACCCCACGCAACGCACTCACTCTTCCCCCCTCACGCTCCCCCCCGCACTGCTCCCGCTCCAGCTCACCGCATACTCCTCCACCGGGCCCCCAGCGCCCACCCAGCTCCTCCTGAAGCGGTTCCCGCGCTCGATCGAGCGCGTGGACGACGAGCGGCGCGTCTTGGCGTGCGGGTGTGCGGCGGCGGGGGCGTCGTGTGCGTGCGCGTGCGGGTGTGCCGCGGAATCATGTGTGGAATCGTGCCCATGCGCAGAAGCCCCAGAGGGGTTATAATTAAACGGCGCACTCGCGAGCGCAGACCCCCACGACGGCGAGCGCGTGTACTTTGACTGCGGGGGCAGCGTGGGCGAGCGCAGGGCGGGGTTGCTGTTGGATCAATAAATTAATTTTGCAATTCGCAGAAAGGAGTGTGAATGAAAGAAAATTCGAAGAGGAAGGAATAAACGAATAGAAACGAGTAGGGGACCAAAAGAAAGAAAGAAACGAAAGAAACGAAAACGCCACACTCACTTTGCAGCCAATGTCGGCCCCACCGCCAGCCGCGCAAAGTTGCTCGGGAACAGCGGGTTCCCCGGCGCGCGGTCCGCGACGGGGTCGTACGGCGCGTCGTCGTGCGCGTCGCGGTCGTGTGTGTACGGCGTGTCCTGCGCGTCCTGTCCGTGCGGGTCGTGCGCGTATTGCGGCGCGTCGGTGCCATACGGCGTATGCGGCGCACTCCCCCCCGCCCCCTCGCTCTTCGCATACCCCACCGAACCAAACGACCCCGAGCGCGCCATCATCCCCCCGCTCCCCGCGCTCCCGCTCCCCCGGTGGTGCCCAAACGACCCCGACCTCGACAAACTGCCCCCACCACCCTGCCCAAACGACCCCGACCTTGACATACCACCCGCACTCATCGGCGTCATCCCCATCCCCACCCCAAACGCAAACCCGCCCCTCAGGGGCGACGCCGCCCCAAAGCTCTGCCTCCTCGCGCCAAACGACGGTGAGCGCACGATGCCCGTGCCGCCCGCGAGCGGGATGCCCGCCGGTGGGATCGGATTCGCACTCGCACTCGCACTCGGTAATCCTTCACCCGCACCTACATCCAGAGCAGGCTGCTCCGCGTCAAAGAACGGATTGGGCAAGCCAGCAGACGACGTCGAGATGCGGATGCCGTGGATCTGCGCGGGTTCGGGCTCGGGGACCGCTTGTTCCTCTTGGCTGGGTTTCGCAGCATCGCCATCCGCGCCCTCCTCCTCCTCCTCCTCCTCCTCCTCCCCAATGTCCCCCAGATCCCCCATCGGCGCAGGCGTGACGAGCGGCGACCCAGTCCCGCCCACAGCGTGCGGCACCGCGCCCGCAAAATAGCCCTGTGCAGAGGAGGACTGAAAGGCGGGCGAGGCGAGCACGGGCTCGATGAACAGCGCGTTGGGGCTGAGCGCGAGGGGGCCCGCGTCCTCGCCCGCGTACCCGTCGACGGGGCTGAAGGGCGACGGGCGCGCGTCGACGGGGCTGAACGTAAAGTGTCCCTTGCCCGCGTCGTCCCCGTCCCCGTCCCGCGAATGCTGCGGCGTGGGCAGCTGCGTCGTTATATGCGGGGGCGCCGCGTCAGAGGAGAGCGCGAGCGCAGACGGCGTTGTCGCGCCCGGCGTGGAGGACGCCCCCGGGGTGAGCGTTGTGGCCCTAGAAGGATTGAAGACGGGCGACTCCATGACGGCGTCCCAATCGTCCCAGTGCGAGTCCAACGCCGGCCCGTCGCCGTCGCCGCGCTCACGACTGCGGCTCCCTTCCTCGCTGCTGCTCTCCCACACGTCCGCGTGCTGCTGCTCGTATTGTGCGTGCTCCTCGTACGCGTCGTCGCGGTCGAGCTCGGGGGGCACGCCCAGCGCGCCCTTGAGGCGCTCCCAGATGAGCTCGCTGCGCGGGCGGATGGCGCGCCGCGCCAAAGAGACGTACTCGGCGTCGGATGCGACGGTGCGCGGTGTCGTCGTCAGGAACGCCGTGAGCTGCGCGTGGCTCCATTTTGCGGGGTTATCATCATCTTTATTATCAGCACCACGCGGAAAGGTGTGTGCGAGCAGCGCAAAGAGCTTGGCGGTTGGGGCCGTTGCGAATAGATGTGCGACCTCGGTGGGGCGGTCGAGGAACGGGAGGTACACGTCGGCCGGCAGCGGGGTGAACACGGCCGGCGACACGGCGGCGGGCGGCGGCGGCGACGTGGCCGTGCGGGCGACCTCGAGCAGCTGCTCGGGCGACAACCGCGGGCGCACGTTGAACGACGATGTGCGCTGCGGCGAGCTCGGGCGGCCGGGCGTCCCGGGCGACGGGGGCCCGCCGCCGAAGGACGAGAAGGCGAAGCTGAGGCGGCCCGGGGGCGCGGGCTCGGGCGACGCGCGCGGGTTGCTGCCCAGACGGCGGTGCGGGGGCCGGCGCGGCGACGGCGGCGTGTCGGTCGGTGGGGCGGGCGAGGTGGCGGCGGGCGGGCCGGCGACGCGCACGATGGTCAGGATGCTGGACGACTCCTTGATCAGGTGCGCGTTTTTGGCATGCGGGTCGGGCGCGGAGACGGAGCCTTTGCGGGCAGACAGGCGGCGGTGGACGGTGTTGGTGGTGGTGCTGGTCATGGTCGGAAAGAGAGAGAGCGGTTCGGGTGATTCCGCGTCGCAGCAGGTAAAAACGTTTTCGTTCTTACGAGACGAGTCCGCCAGCGCGTCAAGGTCACTCAATCCCCGCGCGACGCAATCCATACCGTCATCATCAGATTGCTTCCGCGCCCCATGGGGTATATCATAACGGCGATCATCACCTTCACGACAAAGGCTTGGAAGCAGAGTGGTTTGCGTCTGCAGAACATCCCAATTATGCGTTGTTTTGGTAGAAGACGCTCGTTCGAATCGAGCCCAAGCCATAGGTTGTGCGTGAACATCTTTTTTTTTCTTAGTTTCACATATTTTCCCTAGGTTCACTATTCATGGCCCTTGTCCCCCGTCTCCCTTTTACTTTTGACGAGTGGACGCCATCCATTCCAATCCTGTCATATACCCACCACATAAAGTTCCAAATAATTTACTTGCCCATACCCACAACACGCTGCACAGTGAGCGGCTCAGTGGTGGAGTGGTACACATGTGTAATCTATTTAAGTGTTTCTCAAAATCTTCAACAGATGACGCTTGTTCGAATCAAGCCTGAGCCATGCCACAAGGGTTACAAATTTTTTAATTTTATTTCGTTTCTGCACCAGTCATTGCTTAACTTCTTCCTTCTCTCCTGAGCTATACTGGGAGAACTTTTCCGTAGGTGGAATGGCTTTTTGGTCCGCACATCATCATAAAATTCAACCACAGAAAAACAGCTCCTATTGTTGCATTATTCTTCCTCATTAAGGCACAGTGGCGGAGTGGTCCGCATCTGCAGTATATAAACAGAGATAGGTATATTTCTACGCAGAAGATGCTTGTTCGAGCCAAGCCTGAGCCATTCGTCCTAAGTTTCCTTTTTTTTTTCCAACATTCAACTCAATTTCTTCTCTCTACGCGGCTCTTCAATTATAACGATGCAACAGTTATGCTTGCACGGTGGAATGCCGCGCCGTTTATAAAGTAAAACTTAACCACCGAGAAGAAACGGCTCCTACACTTATATAATGCTGGGTTATTTCCATTTGTCAAGGCACAGTGGCGGAGTGGTCTGCATCTGCACTATATCATCAATATCAGAACGATATCTACGCAGAAGACGCTTGTTCGATTCAAGCCTGAGCCATTATTATTCTCATTTTGCTTTTTTTCCAACATCCAGATCAATTTCTTCTCTTGACACGGCTTCTTGATTATAATGAGCTGTACTGGCGGAGATTCCGTAGGTGGAATTAATGCCGCAGTAGTGGCTTTTTTTGTCCACGCATGGAAGTAAAGGCAGCCAGGGAAATAACAGCTCCTACATACCATTTGAGTAGCATTTGGTTTTCCCTATCCATCAAGGCACAGTGGCGGAGTGGTCCGCATCTGCAGTACATAGCTGGGATGATAGAATGTAGGCAGAAGATGCTTGTTCAAATCAAGCCTGAGCCATCCATATTTTCATTTCATTTTATTTTATTCCAACATCCAGCTCTATTTCTTCTCTCGCTTCAATTATAATCACTGCGTTCAGGCCCCAGGTAGCAGGGCCCCGTGGCGAGCCGACTAGCCGAGAAGTAGTCGGTGTTAAATGTCGAGGCCACGCTAGCCACCTCGACGAGATCCGTCTAGCCGTGGCTAGCCACCTAGCCAGAGCTAGCTAAGGACCTTGTCCCACCCACATGTCTAGCCATGCTCTATTGCATTCAGAAGGTAGGATATTAAATCATAACTATGTTAAAGTTCGTTGCAAGTTCGCCGATCGGCTGTGCAGTGTGTGTGGATGTTTGTTTGTCCGTTTGTTTGCCGTATCAAGTTATGTGATCCTAATGCTCTTTGTCCTCAATCTGCGCAGTACGTGGGCTACTCCATCCATAACAGGCTCCTCTGTTCCATTCCCGAGGCCCATGCCTTGTACTACGATCCCGTGCACTGGCCGCAACGAATATATTATCCCCGATATGAAGGACTCACATTCATCTTCCCATAGATAACTCGTAGCCAGAGGAATGGCTGGCCCTGGCGGACCTAGCCAACTGCTGTCGAGGCTGTGCTACCCGTTTAGAAACGCTACGTCGAGCTGAGCGTCGCGGACCTCGAAGCGGCTCGCATTTGCTCTGGCTAGCCGTTGTCTAGGTGACCGGGACGAGCCAGCTAGCCGGACCTCGCCGAAGCTAGCCGGGCCTAGAAGCGCCTAAAAATGGCTTCGGCTATCCGGCGCCTGAACGCAGTGAATGATGCAGCACAGCAGTTATGCTTGCATCGGTGGAATGCCGCTGTTTATAAAGTAAAACTTAGAAAAAACGGCTCCTACACTTCTATAATGCTCGGTTATTTCTATCTATCAAGGCTCGGTGGTGGGGTGGTCCGCATCTGCACAGTTTGAGATTGCTGGAGTTCGTTACATAAGCAGAAGATGCTTGTTCGATTCAAGCCCGGGCCCTATTGTTTTTTTTTTAATAAAAAAGTATTATTTGTTTTTACCAACACCATTTGTTCAACCACTTATTCCTTACAATTAAAACAACGCGGGGACTCTCTTTGAGCGGAGAATCTCTTCCACAGGTTGAAAAACTGCGGGAGCATGGCCAAATGCAAGTGGTTGAACTTGATTTTTTTGGTGCTCAATAATATTAACTACCACCGGATGAAGATTTCAATGTTTTCACTACTATTTACGGTGAAAAATGGTTAACATTTTTCATGCAGTTTTCAGCATAAAAAGTCATGAAAAATGTAAACTTTTTTCACCCCTTTTTTCGCCTGAAACCAGGGTGTAAAATGTGAAACAAGATTCATATTTTTATTTTAAGTTTTACACCGGGAATTACAGACATTTTTCATGCAGTTTTCACCTTAGAAAGTCATGAAAAATGTTTACATTTTTCAGCACCTTTTTAACTTGAAATCAGGATGTAAAATGTGAAATAATGGTTGTAAATTCAGTTTGAAGTTTTACAGCCGGAATTCATTCGTAGATTCGGCTGGAACCAGTGGTGAAAACTGCAAAACCATTTTCACTAATTTTACCGCTGGAAAAAGGGGTATAAAAGGCATGAACCTTAAGGTATGAAACTGCATGTAAAATGTGAAAGCCAAAATACATTATTTTCACCAGTTTTTCACCATCTTCTGAGGGTCCTTCTTGGATGAATAATGGGATGTGAATTTCAAATTGAATTTCACCCCATTTTTCGCTCAGGACCTGTGTGAAAAAATACAATATGGTTTTCACGCATTTGTCACTGAATACCTGCATGAAAAATGTAAAGAGCTTTTGGTGAATATGTTTTAAATGAATTTCAAAGAGAATTCAAGAATACTGACAGTGAAAAATGTGAAACCCAGTTCAAGTTTTTCAAAGAGAAATGTGAAACCCAGTTCACATTTTCCACCGAAAGATTTAAAACCCAGCTCAAGTTTTTGAGGGAAAAATGTATAACTGAGTTCAATTTTTTCAGCGGAAGATGTTATGTAAAATCTAATTACAATTTACCAGTGAAAAATGCGAAACCCAGTCAATATTATAACACAAGTCAAACCCCTTGAGAACCCTCAGTAAAGCCGCAGCCGGAAAAATGTCGACGCGGCGCTGGCGAGATGAGTGGTCGCTCTGCCTGCGCTACCCACACATTGCCTAAGTTCATCTAAGATGATCCGCAAGCCTCGTCCGCGGCGCAAAGAGCAAATCTCTCCCAGCTGTAACTTTCACTACAGCTATACCGAGACCCTGCTTCGAATGACTCGCAATTCAAAAATACATCTTCATGGTAAGTAAGGTACGGGGTTATGTCAAAAGTTTTATTTTTGCCATTTTGTGCCGCTAAAGTGGCTACGATTTGGCCATCAGAGGGTCACATCTTAAACGAGGATCAGGGGGACCCGTCAGGACGAAATATCGATCTCACTGGGGAAAGTGATTCCAGAGGTGCCGAAATCACGCTACTTGCAAGGATACATACCTAGAGAGAAGAATAAGAATTTCGTTTAACTGTGGGTGCAAAATACGATTTTTTAGACTCGAATCTCCCAGGCCAACGCGAATCCTGACGGGAACTCGACAATCGCTAACAACGGGTAAGATAAAAATTAAGGAATCACGGATTGATTGTGAGAGTTCGGGGGTGTGACTTTTTATTAGTCAATATTAATGCCAGACGCGGGTGTCTCCAGAAAGCGAACTTTCAGACAATGAAGAACCCTGGTCGGCCAAAGCGCCCAAACTTGATGGGCTCAGCATCGTCGAGCACTGCCACCTGGCCCACATGAGCCACGACTCCAACCGCGCACAGATAGCGTGAGGTTGAAGAAAAAAAGGGGAGAGGGTGAGCGTGGAGAGATGGAGCTCACATAGCGTTCACAGCACGAGATGGAGGCAGGAAGGAGTATTCGAGTTGATTGATAGCAGCTTCAGCGACTCAAAGGCCTCTGAGGCAAGCCTCCAACGCTTTTTGGCAGTCTTGGCAAGCATGTGGTGCCGGCTCATGGGCCCTTTATTGCCCTTCTCTATGTCAGATTCACATTCCGACAGAAAAGTTTGGTAAGAGAGGGCGGGGCTATGTATGTTTGGATCGAGGGTGCAGTTGGCGCCGGTGGCAAGGGAATCTCCCATGGCGAAAATGAACTCAGTTCCTGCCAGGTCATGCAGAATATCCTCCCAAACATCCAGCCGTTCGATGTGGTTTCGGAGTGTCAAGCAGTGTCGTCGTTGTACGAGGCACGGTGGATGTCACCATGGGAGGAGTTGGACGAGTCTGATTGGATCCCTTCAGGGTCTGAATCCAATGGATATGTCACCCCACTGTGATCAAGCGGATCGGAGGTGTCGTCCTCAGTCCCCGGAAGCATCTCCGCCGCATATTGTCGATTTCTAGCATCGCGCTCGCGATCTCGGTCAAGGTCCCACTCGTGGGCTCGGAAGTCTTCAGGTAGAAAAATCCTGCCTGATTGCTGAATTCCCATCGCCAGATCTGTATACCAGCTAGTAGTGCGACAGGTGGGGCATATGCAGAGGCGATTAGATGGCTGAAGGAGCATCTGTCTCCTGTGTAGTTTGAATTTCTCTGTTGTGAAGAGCTGACCGGGATATGTGAGGCCATTGGTAGGGTCAATGTAACCCAGTTTCTTGCACTGGTGGCACCGACAGGTCTCCATGTCGGTTGAGGAGATGTGTGAATGCGTACAGCCGGCACAAACAAGGCACATCCAATCCACTGATGGCTTAATGTTTGTAAGCATTGGAAATATTTACATAGGCATGGCTGAGCTCAGTACAATCTACAAAAAATCCAAAAAAATGGACAATAAAAATGAGTGGCCAAAAGCGGGAGGTCCTGGGTACGGGTAATGAAGGTTGTTGCAGAAAACACTATCGAGGGCGCCATTTGGGCCACCCGGATGTGCGCGAGCCATAGGGCTTCGGGATGAACGGAGGAGAGTAGTGGAATGGCTCAGTTGGATGCGTGTTTCTTCCTGCGTCATCGCAGTTGAAAGGGTCTGAGTTCGATCCTTGGGGCGGACAGTTTTTCTTTCTTTTTCGAGAATGGTCTTGGCCGCTTCTACTTTGCTTCTTGGTCGAGGATATGAAAATTTATCGGTGAATATCTCGACAGTCACCAATAATCACTGCAAGCCCTCAATTATGAAGCTAAATAAACTGTCTACACTATGCCAAATATTCGAAAGCAAATATAGCGCCCAAAAATTGATTGTTTTTATCTGATTTAAGATGCGTCAACATCCATTCACTAATCTAAGCTGTCGGATTGAGTATCCAAGTCCACAAAAACTCAAGTATTGCGGCACATTTCACCAGCAATAAAATGGAAGTGAAAAAATAGAGAATACGTACACTCGAGATGAGTTCCAAAACTCAAGATATGGAGCCTCTTGAAATCTTTCCCGATGTTTGAGATTTTAATTTTGAGTTCAGGGACTAAGAAATAACAAAAATGAAATCTTGTTTTAACAGACTTGCAACGAGATGCGAAATTTCAGGTTTCTGTGGCTGCTAAAGCCATCTGCAGATCATCGGCGCTCTGCCAAATCGTCGAAATTTGGCTGAGTGCCGATCGTCTGCAGATGAGCGGCAGAACGGTTTAGTGGCGCCGAAAGCCCGAAGTTTCGCATCCCGTTTCAAACACCTTTAAATGAGCAACCAAATTTCGCATTTAATTCAATCCAAAATCTAAGGTGTCAACAGGTGTATTGAGAAGCGTGATATCCTGAGTTTTAGAGCTCACTTCAAGATCTTTGAATTCCATTTCGATTTAAGGCATTTGTTCTGTCCGTAAAGTCGCAGCAATACTTAAGTTTTCGTGGGCTTGGATACTCAGTGTGATAGATTGGATTAGTGAACAGATTTTGAGACATCTTAAATCAGATGAAAAACAACAATTTGTGGCCACTGTATTTGCTTTGCAATATTTGGCATAGAGTAGACAATTATTTGG